TTTTAATACAGTTTTTAGTTGGTACTATAGGATTTTTATTATTTGAATCGAGAACTAAACAAAAGTTTTACATTTAAAAATGTAATTCCACAAATCAAAAAGTGTAATAGTGTCTTGTAAACAGCTGCAGATATGACATGGGACAATTTGGGTTAGCATTAAAAAGTGCCAACCTAATTTAGACAGCACTTTATGTGATGTTTAGCTTATTTTTCCATAGCAAAGGCTTTATAGCAACTAATTCTTACTAATGACAAAAAGAAATGGAAGATTCTTATTCTGATGCTCCAAGCATCTCCTCAGCTATTGGCTAGAGACCATAACATCGATATCTTTGCAACCTAAAATGATGAGTAAATGTGGAGTATAGAAAATAAGCATGTTTTATCGGTCGAAGTTATAAGTATAAGTATAATTTGATTTATATTATATATATGATTAAATTAAATAAAAAAATAATTTATTTGTTGCCAATGATGAAAAATTGGAAGGTTCGTACTGTGCCTTTGTCGAGAGACCGCAACATGTATCCCTGCAACATGAGAGGACCAATAAATGAGCTAAACAGGTAAGCTAAAAGCTAATAGATATTGTTGTGATTGATAAAAAAATGGAAAAGATTCTCCTCTGCTTTCCGCGAGAGGTATGTAAATTGAAAGAATGAGTAAATTTGGAGTATAGAAAATAGCTATTCTTGTCATTCAAAGGTGGTGGACAGAGATAAATAAACAAAACAGGCGAAGTATATTAGATAAAAATTAAAAAAAAAATAAGGAGTTTCATTTTTCACTTTTTAGACACAATTAATTACACATAACTATTGATGAATAAAGGAAGTTTCTTATTCCGAACTAAATGTATCTTCACAAACTGAAATAATGAGTAAATGCGGAATATAGAAAACAAGCATTTTCGTCTTTAATGAAGTACTTCAGATGTGAACTCCTAAAAATTTTATAAGAATTTCTTTTCCACTATAAGAAATAATGCTTTTTAAACCCAAGTAATCGCTATGATTGATAAAAAATAAATATAGGTTTCTATTCTGAGGCATTGAGATTTTCCTCTGCCTTTGGTGGGACATCACAACTTGTATCACTGCAACCTGAATGAGGAGTGTAGAAGAGACCTTCCCTGTCATCGTTCAAAATTCAGGTTCGGTGATGGTCAGAGCTAAATAACCGAAACGGTAGAAAAGTGGTGCAATCAAAGGCCCCAACAAAAAAAAACACCATAAGTTATGGATCGAGAACGCGATACGACCGGTAACCGGGCGAATACCGCTACAATGCGTTCCACAGTTTAATACGCGTTAAATACCGTAATCCAACGGCTCCGGTCGGTTCCCCGGAGAAAGTGAATTTGGCCCCGGGCTAAACGCAAGAAAGACGGAGAGGGAAAGTCGGTGAGTGAAAAAGACAAGAGGCAAAACCGAAACGGCGATCAAACGCATTCATTTATTTATCGGGGAAATAAAATCTAACCTACTTGCTCCCGCCTCGAACGAGGTCAGCTGCTCGCTTGCTTCCCCGTCGTCGTCGACCACGAGGGACGATAGACGTCGGGCGGCGTTGCCAAGTCTACGCGCGGAAAAAATCTACCTTCGACCAGGTTCGAGAAATTCGCTCGCCGCGTTGAAATCACCAAAACCTTGATGCTTTGGAATGGGTATGGAAGTATGGGTATTGAACTATTGAACAAGGAGGCGGAATGTAAGCTGTGGATAAGTAAGAAAATGCAGGAAAAATTAAAACAAGCGCGATAGAATGGGGGGAAGCATCCCTAATCGTACAAAGTATCACAGAAAGGAAGTTTACTGCAAAGTTCAAGTTGGGAAATGAAAACCCAAAGAAAAGTAATTAAGTTGAATAAATTCTAGACTACAACGGAGAAGGGAGGAAACAATCGCACATATGTGAGAAACTGAAAGAAAGTCATAGCTGTTATAGAAACACTGCTGGAATGGATAAAAAGAAAATTCGTTTTTATGTTGATCTTTTTGGACAATCGAACAACTCCAAACGAGAAAACAAGCGACCTGCCTTATGTGGAATAGCCTTAAATATCGATCATGCGAGGCAGACCAGTAAAAGGGCTTCTTTAATGTTGCAAAATAAACGCAACAATTACATGCTGATTGAAATTTGGTTTGGCGTTTACAGTTATCATTTTTTTTTAAATGTAACACCCACCTTGTATATTATTTCACAACTCAATTTCATCTTTAGCAGTCTTGTTTTTGGAGAAATTAATAATATAATACACCTATTGCATATGCAAATATAATAGATTAATTTATTCGTCGAGTTGTAAAAAAATAATACAGGGTGTTCAAATACTGTGTCAAAGTAATATATCTCGTTTATTATTTGTTTTAGAGAACAATGTTAACAACAAAAGTAATAGATGAGACTAAAAGGAACAATTTAAAATTATTTTCAAATAAACAGGGGATTCTTAATTCATGGGAAATCAAACTTATATTTTTTCAATGAATCTCGTTTTTATACTCGACTACTCAATGTGGGGTAGTTATGGTCCATAGTGAGAATTTTCGGATTTATGGCCATTTTTCAATCAAAAATGATCTGTCTTTAATATGCTATATTTTTGACGCAGTTTACGGCAGCTGTAATTTTATTATGGCAACAATTTTATAAAGCGGTTTATACAGGGCGGGTCAAAATAAAAAATATCAATTTTTGTAAAAAATCAAATGGAACATATACTTCCATTAATTACATTTATTAATTTATTAAGCATTTCCTATACCTACCTTTTTTTTACGAACAAATACTGACAATTTTCAAACCGTGTCAAAAAATCTACATAAGATTGAGAACAAAGATAATATTACCTAAAGGCGAAAAAGTCTGCAGAGACGTATTAAGCATAATTCTTTCAGATAATGGCATTTATTACATGTTAATACAAAATGTAATGCGAAAATACTTGATTAAATCAGAGATTTAAACAAACATAAAATTATGATCTGCGCAACCTTGGAAAAACAATTTAAACATTATTTTACACTAGGGATAGTATTAAAAATGCAATTTTAATAGTGCTCCAGATAAAGTACCAACAGTACGAAAATCACTTCTTCCATCAAAATATTCATGGTCCAGTTGCAAATTAACAACAAATTAATTGAGAAAACTAATACAAAATAGACAGGTTCCAATTAATTATTTATTTGTATGGCCAGCTTACACTTGTATGGCCACATTTGTATTGGCTTACATTTGATGATAGGATAAATTTCTACTACTACTACTGTGAAATTGTTGGCATAATAAAATGACAGCTGTCGGAAATGGCGTCAAAAATATAGTGTTAATATATACATATATTGGATGATTGAACATCTACTAATGCAATAATATATATGGCGTTACATTTAAAAATATAAAAGTTTGTTTTCCCATATATTTATGAATCACCATGTACATTTGAAAATAATTTTAAATTGTTTCTATTTGGTCTTATCTATAACTTTTGTATTTAACATTTTATTCTAAAACAAATAATAAATGAGATATATTATTACTTTGACACGTTATTTAGACACTCTGTATACAACATAATTCATTAACCGTACATGAACCATAGAATTATAATCTCAAGTGTCTAGCGCGTTTACACTCCAAAAATTCCTCACTTCTGTCGGAATTTACAATTCACTACATATTCTTTATTCTTCCTTTTTACAGTGAACGGAAAAAATTTGGAACAAATTCATTTAGAAATCACACGTCCAACATATTTTTTTTTTGGTCATTTTTTGCAGTAAACAGAAAATATATAGGGCGAGGCAAAAGGCAGATGTCGATACCAATTTGCTTTTTTTATATTCATTTTTCAATTCAAATTTTACGCATAATTTATGTAGTATACCATATACCTATCGCATACTTTTTATGACAAAGAGAACAAAAACTCCAAATTTAATTTCTAGCTAGTACTAGTAAAGTTTTTAAATTGTTGCTATTGCAAACTGTGATATAGGGTATGCTACATGAATTATGCGAGAAATTTGATGGATTGAAAAAAAACATTCAAAAAAGGGGCTTGGTAACCACATCTACTTTTTTATCCACCTTGTACATTTTATATTTACTACAAAAAATGCGCAAGAAAAAACTACGGACGTGTGCGGGCATTTTTTCCTGATTTTTAAGTGAATTTGTTCCACATTTTAACCGGTGATTGTATACAAATAATATATCATTTCAGTGTAATGACCGAAGAATTCATTTTCGAGATATTTAAAGTTAAATATAAATCTGCACAGTTATTTTGATGTCAATGGCTACTCATTAAGCGGGGCTTTTTGAGGCGCCGCATAAGAATTGCAATTTTTAATTTCAGTAAAAGACCAATTTTATTAATACGAAAATATAAAAAAAAATGGAAGAAAGCAGCAGCCGCAAAAAAAAAATCAGGCCTAACATGAGAAACTGGAACTGGAAGGACCATCTCATCGATGGTAGCATTGTAGCTTATTTTGTTACATATCTTAATTTAATGTAGACAGTTATTCTTTTAGCTGAAATGACCGCTTGAAATACGTACCGAATAATGCATTTTTGTAAAAGCGGACCTGCATTGCTATTTTCCATGTGAAACTTTGAGGATGGCATTTAAATTAAATTAAAAATGGCTAGTATCGCGAGTTAAATGCACTATTAGATGCTGCTTAAATAATAATATAGTTTTTTTAGCGTTCGCCTTTTTTAAGCAAACCCTTGATTTCCAAGCGACGCAGGAAATTCGGCGGGATCCGGCAACAACAACACCGCGCGCATAAATTAAGTAAGTGCGCGACGCTACGCAACAGCGGCATGCTTCCGGCGATCACATGGACCCGCCGAACTTGATGCAGGTAAAGGTCGACCAACCCACACGGAGAGAATGCCGAGATTACGTGCGATGGAGGAAGTCCGAGGTTACCGAGTGCATCTAATAACCCCGATAGAAGAAAGTGCGTGAGTACTTACGATATCATGGCCTTGGGTGCCACCTCTGACTACTTCGGGGGCCATGTATTCGATGGTGCCGCAAAACGAGTACGCCCTTTGCTCGCCATCGTTCCTGGATAGCTCTTTGCTGAGCCCGAAGTCGGTCAGCACGATATGACCGCCCTCGTCCACCAAAATGTTCTCAAGCTTGATGTCTCGGTAGATGATGCCCAGCTGCAAAACCAAAAAAGAAAAAAACATTAGAACACAGGTCGAGATTTATAACATTAACCCCAAAGCAAATGGTGGTTACTGTGCGTTACTATCTTGATATCTCCAGTCTGTATGATCATGTATTACAAGGTTAACTGTATATTTATGCTGACGCGTATGCCCTTACGGGGCTTGTTTCGTATATTACCCATTTTATTGTTGGTTTGTGGGTCACTTCCTTTGATAATAAAACATGTTTTGATTGATTAACGAAGTTTTACATTTTAATGATCAACACTTAACTAAAGCCCTTCGGGAATAGTCTGAGAAAAATTGAGAGCAAGTAAAACTGTTTTTAAGATTTCTTTGGTATATTCAAAGAAATATGTTAACACCATAACATCATCATTGCTGTACAAATTCATACCTTCATACCTCATCTCCTTTTGTGGGACGTTTAAAAACTTTTATAAGTAACGATGTCAAGCAACGAACAACAATGTCTTCTGAAAATTTCTTATGTAGTTTTTATTATCTAAAACGCTTACTAAATCAAAGCTTTTTATTTCATTAACACTTCTATGGCAAACATTATCGCTTATCTTGATACGACCAGAGCAACGGCGAGATGTCCATGAAAATACAAATGACCTTTCAATATGGACGATTATTAATTTTTGAAATAAAAGAGTGAACTTATCCATTAAATTTATATTTATATATATCTTATATAAATGACCGATACCGAAGTAGAGCCGGTGCCCATGATATTAACTTTTTTGAAATGGTCAATAGTAGAACTGCTATTCATAGTCAATAAAAAATCTGTGCTCCAAAATCTCATACAAACGACAAAAATGGCAAGTTGACAATTACATTCGAACACAATGAAATAAATTTAATTGTGTTAAATGGAATTTCATCAAGTAAAAGCCAGTCACCTCAGTCCAATATATTCGAATACTTAAAGAAAAAGTAGTATAAAAATGTGTAGCAGTGTGTTGCTGGGATGATTTGAAGCTAAAAATGTCAATATGCCCGGCACCATATTCTAACTGCGCAGTTGAAATTTTAAAGAATATTTCAAAAGAAACCGCTTTATTGAATTAGTTGTTCCAGTGCTCCGTTCGGCTGTTAATATTGTTATTAAAAAGTCCAGGTGACTGAGAATCTTATGTATTGTGACAAGGTACAATGTTTGCTTTTTCAAATTAAGAATACGCCAACGTTCACTTTATTTATGGATTGTGTAATGGAAACGGACGAGCGGCGATTGATGAATATCGTCGGCAATTTGCCACTCGTAGAGTACCTTGTAGAATTGTTTTTAGCAGTGTACAACGATGTTTGAGAGAAACAGGCAAGTTTCCAGTTACTTTTGAACCTCCCGTTCAACAGGAACTGATTGATGCTCAACTTTCAACTATTGTCCTAAAAATAAGTGACAGACTTAACGTAAGCCGGATAAGAGTCTGAAGAACTTTATGCAACCTTTAAAACCGGCCGACTACACACTACACGATTTTTCGGATAATATTATGTAGTGATGAAGCCTCGTTCACCCGAAACAGTATCAGTAACACCAGGAATTAACATAGTTGGGCACTTAAAAATCCACGACAAACTCGGGAATCCCATTTTCAAGATAGATTTTCAGTGAATATTTGGTGTAGGAATATTGACCACTGCTTCATAGGTTCGTATGCGTTGACGTTGACGTCTTTGTATGTCTGATGATGCCCGTGTGGGCGAAACACGTGTAACATTTTAGAAATAATAATTTTTGAGACATCGACTTCGGAATTAATTGGATCGTTATAGTGTTGTGAAATCAGCTCTCTTTGAGGGTGGGAGATTTGTTTTATCATTGGTCCGTTTTTAATTGAAGAACGTCTCACGGCCATTGGTTATTTAAGTTTCATTGATCCATGATTTTCCAATTTTACTGGATGAAGTTCCTCTTAATGCAAGACAACGAATTCAGCAATTTTGTGCACCTGCTGACTTTGACGGATAAGTAACATAATTTCTTAATCAAAATTATACAAACCGGTGGATTGAAAGATGTGCAGCAGAGAAAGAAAGAAAAGAGAGAGAGAGAGAGAGAGACCGACCAAACCGAAAGGCAAAGTTTTTTTTGACAAAGGGCGCACGTCCCTGACATTAGCCCTCTCCTTCCAAACCTATTAATAGACGAAATGTTCGAAAATGTTGGTTTGTGTTGGCGCATTCCACGTGCGAAGGTTACCGGCTTTATTGGCGACGGTACTTCAAACGCTTATTATGTAATAATGCAGTCGTTCTGCATCGTTTCACTATCGAAATTATTACTTATTAAGGGTAAAAAGTGGATGCGCGGAAATACAAGGGATATCCGATAAATAGGTCGGTCCAAGGCTTTCCATTTAAACGAAACCGTCAAATAAAATACAGCTACATATGAAATTCTTATAATTCAATAGAATACAATACAATGCGTTTATTTCCCTTCACAATAATTCATTATATAGGCAAAGTCATTCTTACTGCTATGGTACAATTTGTAAATAATTTTCTACATGACACTAAAAAAAAGGGTTTTAACGTAACTTTGAAAAGCTGGTAAGTTATTAAAAAGTAACGGCCCCATATTTTCAGGAAAACGGAAAGCCAATGTAGTATTGGAAATACTGGAAAACCAGATGATTTTAATGTGTTTCTTAGTTCAGTCGCTGAAAACATAGTGAAGTCAGATACATCAAAATATCAAACTGATTACTTGCGTAAAAACCATCAAAACAATCAGTTACGGTTTACGGAGTTTCCAATGCTGTCAAAAATCTTAAATTTTCAGCATCGACTGATTATTTTAACATAAGCAGTATTATGCTGAAGATTGTGGAGAGCATAGTTGGGAACTTGGAGGGTAGGTCGCTCGCTGTTCTTACGGTGTGTGATTTGGCCAGGGCCTTCGATTGAATTTCCATGGTTTACTCCTGAAGAAACTTTCGATCTATGCTATTAGAGATACTCCCCTGAAACTCTTTGAATCATATCTCTCCAATAGATATCAGTACGTACTATATGATAACTCTGTTTCTCAAAGTGTCATTTTATGATACGAACCAACAGCGTAATGTTTGCACACGATACCTCCTTTACAGGTTATAATAAAAATTGTCTTAATTTACCGACTATCGCTGAGAATATTTTGGAAGGGTTATTTAAACACAGATTACTTAAGGTATCCTTTGCTATAGTTTCAGCGATGCCATTTTTATTTTTCACCTTCATATGAGAACCATTAGGTTAATGGCCACAGTCGACCACAAGGAACACTGCTAGCCGTTTTTTCGATATTTTATCCCTTCCTACTCTCTTTATTTACCACAATTTGCTGGAGATTCATAAGGAGAAAACCAAACAAGATGAGGTAACTTATTAAGCATTCCACGTTGTCGTCTAACTATATCTGACAAAAACTGTCTTAACCTGAAACTCTTTTATTATGTTCCGTTAAAAATCAGAATGTTAAATTTTTTTTAAGTACAAAAGTATAATAAAACCACATTTATGAAAATATTACGTTCTATAGATGAACATTTTATGACACCAAAATTATTAATAACAAATGAAATTATAAAAAAGAATATATACGTAAATATAATATTTTCATGACAATGTATGCCGTTTGGAAGTATATATAAGTATTGGATCCGGGTATTGTCAGTGTAGTTTGTTGACGTGTGATTATACAATTTTCTGTAGTCTGTAATTTTGTTGAATGTCGAAATGTTTTAATATTGAAAAAAAAAGCTGATTTGTGTTATATAGTATATGACCTGCTGTATCTGACAGACGCCATTCGCAAAATAAAGCAGTTGTTCGATTTTTAGCACTGATTTTAATTGTCTCAATTTTAATTGTGTTTGGCAGTTAAGATTCCTATCAATATATAGCTCAAGAAATTTTATATTGAAGCTAAAAGGAATCTTTTCGCTATTCTTTTCTTTTGTGCATGGGTTCAGGAATAGAAAACTCAAAACTCTATCAGAGTTAAACATCATTTGCGAAAGTTGTAAATCGAGATCTATAGTGTCAAAATGGTTAATAAATAAGCTAATCGGACCCAGAATTGAAATATTTAACATATTTGAAGGAATTTTTTTTATATGATTTTTCAAATCAATATTTTGAAGACAAACATGTTGTCGCAACAGCGCATTCTCCCAAATCGATCAAATTTACAAGATTTTATTTAAAAAAAAGTGCAACGCTGGCAATGACTTTGACCATTTCTAAAATCGTGTTGATCACCTGACAATATTTTATTATTTTCCTTTTTTAAATATGGGAATAACTACCAATTTTTTATTTACTTGGAAATTCACCAGAACAGAATAAGAGATAATAAAAGTCTAAACTAACCAAAACTAAGCAAAACTACTGGATTTCGATTTTTTAAATTTTGTTAATAGTAAATGTTCTGTGCAAGGGCAAAGTTTTTGTTGTGTTTCCTTAGTAAGGGATTGTATTTTGATAGTATCTCTTATTTTTTGGCATTAAATAATATGTCTGAAAATTTTTGTGAGAAGCAGCAGTAGATCTTTTAACTTGTCACTAGAATGCATCTGTGTACGCGTTGGACTTTTAACCTACTCTTCGAAGAGATGCTAATAATAAAATTAGTAACATTTTTATTCTAAGGAGCTGCCAAAACGGTTCCGAAATAACTCTTCTTGTTAAAAATAACCAATGAATGAAAAGCTCTCCTGTGGATGGGAATGAAATTTATCCGATTCTTTTTCCTTATTAAACTTCTTCTTTATGTTCTTATGTTATATTCTAATTAATTAATATAAATTAAATAAACACATTAATTTTCTCTGCTTTCTTCCCCCTTACCCTTACTTTTTTCTATTTTACAGACTTATAAATTATTTTTTCTAGTAAAACTCTGATGATAATTTTATATTGGTGAATCAATAAATAAATTTTCTTTTCATTGACTAAACTTACTGTTGGCGTATATAGTCAGCTTT